CTTGAATTCTTTTTGTTGGATTCGGTGGTCGTGCCATCTCTTGGTCCTTTCTTTGTAAAGTCTGGCACTATGGTAAGCTTTCTCATGCCATTCTTCTAGCTCAGAGATTTGCCTCTGTCGGTTTTTGCCGGCTAGACTTACATCCATGTTCTAGTTCTTGATTGCCTAGTAAGCTCGGTGCTCAAGCTCAACTGGTAAGTGGAAGCTTTTTACATAGACGAGCTAGAATGGCAACATGCCAATGGGGGTTTTGTAAGATGTCATGTATGCCCAAAGTGCATCAGGAAGCTTGTTCTTTCAACCCTTCCCCATTTCATTAACCGTCTTTTGCAGGATATTTTTGATTTGCTTGTTTGAGGTTTTTGCCTGGCCACTGGTTTGCGGATGATATGGGGTGGCAACGTTGTGCTTGGCCCCAAGCTCCCTTAGGAAGGCTCTAAAGGTTTTGTCTAGGAAGTGAGATCCCCCATTGCTTATCACCATTCTCGGTGTTCCAAAGCGAGGGAAGATCACTTCATGGAACATCCTTCGGGCATGCTTGGTGCAGGCAGCTCTGCATGGTAATGCTTCCACCCACTTTGACACATAGTCGACGGCGATGAGGATATACTCTCAATCTTGGGACTCTTGGAATGGCCCCATGAAGTCAGTGCCCCATACATCAAATATTTTTATTTGAAGGTTGTAATGGAGGGGCATTGCATTGCGAGAAGTGATGCCACCTTGCAGCTGGCATTTCCAACACCTTCAAATGGATTCTTTGGTGTCTTCGTACATCATCGCCTAGAAGAATCCACACTGCTAGATTTTGGCTTGAGTGCGGAATGCTTCATAATGGCCTCCAAACGGGGCTGCATGGTATTTTTTGATGATTTGTATACCCTCAACTGTGGGCACACACCTTCTTAGCAAGCCATCAGAACAGATCCTATAGAGGTACGGGTCATCCTAGAGGTGATGTCTACTTTTAGCTTGTAGCTTCTTGTTCTCGCCCGGTGGTACGTACCCTGAAACTATGAAATTCACAATGTTTGTGTACCATGGGTTGGAATCCGTCACCCGTAGCAGCATTTCATTATGTAGAAAGCCATTAATTGGAAGTTCCTGCATGTTAGAGGATAGCATAGGTGACAGATGATCTGCAACAATATTCTCTACTCCCTTCTTATCTTTTATTTCTAGGTTAAATTCTTGGAGTAGAAGAATCCATCTTATGAGGCGTGGTTTTGCGTCTTTCTTAGTGAGCAAGTATTTAAGTGCAGCATGATTGGTGTAAACAATTATTTTTGCTCCTACTAAGTAAGATCTAAATTTATCAATAGCAAAAACAACTACAAGAAGCTCTTTTTCAGTGGTGGCATAATTAAGTTGTGCTCCTGTCAGTGTTTTGCTAGCATAGGCAATTGTATGGTGCTTTTTATCTTTAATTTGGCCAAGGACTACACCAACGGCATAATCACTAGCATCACACATTATTTCAAATGGCAGCGACCAATCGGGTGATTGGATGATTGGTGCTGAGATGAGTGCCTTCTTGAGTGTATGGAAAGCATTTAAGCACTCATTAGTGAACTCAAAAGGTACATCCTTAGCTAACAGGTTTGTCAATGGTCTAGGTATTTGCGAAAATTCCTTAATGAAACATCTGTAAAAACCTGCATGTCTTAAAAAGCTACGGATTCCTTTTATGTTCACAGGGGTGGTAATTGTTCTATAACTTCAATTTTAGCCTTGTCAACTTCAATCCCCCTCTCAGACACTAAGTGTCCAAGAACGATGCCCTCTCTAACCATGAAATGGCATTTTTCCTAATTTAGTACTAACTCTTTTTCCTAACATCGTTGCAAGACTTTGTCTAAATTCTCTAGACAATGGTCAAAGGTTTTGCCATAGACTGAAAAATCATCCATAAAAACCTCCATAATTTCTTCTATCATGTCTGAGAAAATTGACATCATGCACCTTTGAAAAGAGGTGGGTGCATTACACAGCCCAAAAGACATTTGTCTATATGCATATGTTCCATATGGGCATGTGAAGGTAGTCTTGCTTTGGTCATCAAGGTGGATAGGAATTTGATGATACCCAGAATACCCATCGAGAAAACAAAAGAAAGAGTGCTTCGCCAACCACTCTAACATCTCATCAATGAAGGGCAGTGGGAAGTGATCTTTCTTTGTGGCCGCGTTGAGTTTTCGGTAATCTATACACATCCTCCACCCTATGACGGTTCGTTGTGGGATTAATTCATTCTTATTGTTTTCTACGACTGTCATGCCCCCTTTCTTGGGCACCACTTGGACGGGGTTGACCCAATCGCTATGTGGCACATGATAGATAATCCCGGCATGAAGAAATTTAAGAACTTCCTTCTTCACGACTTCCCGCATCGTGTTATTGAGCCTGCGTTGGGGTTCGCGTGATGGTGTGCTTGCAGGGTCAATAGGGATACGATGGGTACAAAGCATTGGACTTACCCCCTTAAGATCTTGGAGTGAATACCCAAAAACTGACCTATGTTTCTCTAAGATAGCGATGAGTTTGGACATCTCCTCACCAGTAAGCTTATCGCTCATGATTACAGGAGCTTGTTTGTCGCCATTCAAGAAAGCGTAACGCAAGCCAACGGGTAGGGGTTCGCATGATGGTGGCTCTATGAAAAGTTCTTCTAAGGGGTGCCCTATCATGATGTCGAAATCCTGAACGTCAAAGACATGGAAGTCAAGAGACATTATGGCATTGTTGTGGTGAATCGTAGTGTCGTGTAGAATTCCATGTCCCTTCAGGATAGTTCGTGGAGCATTTTCTAAGAGATTTGTTTGTTAGAGCAAGGGACTCATTGCCGAAATAGGCAGATGCAAACATTATATTTGCTCCGACAGTGGCTGAGTAAAGCACATCCACCATTGTTCCATGGACCTAGCAGCGGATGGTAGAAGGAGGGGCGTAAATCCGAATTTCTTCAGAAGAACGCTCTGCTTCTTCCACCCACTCACTGCTCATGATAGCAGTCAACTCTCGAATGGATTCCCTAAGAAATTCTTCATCTAATGGGACATAAGGAGTGACAGGAACTGGTGGTTTCTTTTGGCATGAGTATTTCGAGGTGTTTCTAAAATCTTTGAAAAGTTCATCCTCGAAAGGTGGAAGGTCCGAAGGTTGGAGACCTTCCTCCAAATTTTCTGGTTCGGGTGAGGGCTCTTGAATGGAAAGTGTAGGTTCGGCCTCTGCCGAGGAGACTTCCTCATGACTTAACATAGGTTCTACACGGAGGGGTTCTAAGGGAGGAGTGTTCTCTAAAATATGATCTAGGAGGGCTTCTCCTTCCTAAGTGGTTTTATGCATGAATGAACCTTCGACAGTTATGTCAAGTTATAGGGCAGACTCCTTGCTAAGCCCTAACAAAAAATGTTGTAATAACACATGGTTGGGTATAGACAAGTCTAGTCCAGAATGTGTTAGGATTGAAAATTGGTCCCAGGCTGCACCTATGGTCTCCTTCTCCTTTTGTTGGAAATTGAGGGTTTCTTGTCGTAGGGCAGCAATTCAGGATATAGGAAAGAACACAAGATAGAATCTGTTCCTTAATTCTTCCCAATCGCCAGCTACCTTCCCTACGTTATGGGCGTACCATTGTTTCGCCCTCTCATCAAGTGAGAAAGGAAACAACTTCCACTAAAGTGTGTCTTGTGACATGCCTGAAACGGTCAGGCAAGCATAGAGCTGCTCAAATTCCCTTAGGTGATGGTAAGGGTTTTAATAATCGAACCCCGATAAGGTTTGTTCCCAAACCAAGGCTATAAAGCCAGGGCCGAGTTCATAGCTAGAAGCTATGATTGGTTTCAAGGATTGTGGTGGCTTTAAGAACTCACCCTTGGGAGCAAAAAGTTGGTGAATTGTTTTGTGCTCCATTGGAAAAGAATAAAAATAAAAGAAAGGTAAAATAAAAGATACACAGGTGACTAGGTTCAAAAACTAAAACAACAACCGTTCCCCCACAACGGCGCTAGAAATGCTTGTTTGTGTTTCTTAGTGTAAGCAGAGGGATCCGCAAGCACATAGATACACCGTTATAGCACTTCACCCGGAGATATTCAGGGTATTGTATTTTCCCAAAGGAACATGTGTGCAAGTCTCTTAGCTAGTTCACCTAAACAAAACAAGAAAAAGGTAGGCTGGGTAGTGAGGTTTTTCTAAGAATAGATATCTTAAGCCGAGATAACTTTGACACTATAGACCTGCTTCGGGCGCCGGCTTACACCTGGTCTGCCAAGCGATACCGGTCTTTCGCTCTACGTCGAACCTAGACATGGGGGAGTACGAAGGATGGACAGGGCCATCACCACCTGCCGCCTACCCCTCAACCGTGGGGAATGAAACAAATGAAGATAGCTTATGGCCTAAACACCATGTCTACGTTATCAACTATTACGCTAGCGTGCATGCAAGGGTTGTCCATCTCTATCAGGGCCCTTCTACTAGAGCACCCATCACAAGGACGGACGACGATCCCATAGGTTTATAATGGTCAAAGGTAACTTTCTTAAGTAATCAATCCCAAAGTTAAACATGAACTTCTTACTCCAAGTAGTAAGACGCTCATAGAGGTACAAGTGGAGGAAGGGTGCCGGGGCAGCTGGATCTGGATTGTAGCTTGTTGCTTGCACGAGCACGAAGCGTCGAAGCCGAGCAGGCGGAGCAGCGAGCAGCAAGCAGACTAGCAGAGCAAGGTGATTTGTGAAGTTGTGAACCAAACTTAAATCCTTATTTGTCTTTGATTGTTTCATTGCTGAATTGAATATGTGATTGGAAACAGGGCTGATTAAAAATTTGGAATGTCAGATTTCAGTATGACGAAAAGAACTCTGCGTAATTACTTTTCAAGTTCTAGTGGTAGTGGTCCATCTCCATCAACTCCACACACCAGTAATGAGTAGCGGGCTGGTAATGAGAGCACAACTCAACCAAAGAAACCTAGAGTAGAGTTTAGTCAGTCGAACATGATTGCAGACCCTGGAAATCGCAAACCAATTGATGATTATGAACCTGAAATTAGAGACCAAGTAAAGAGAGCATATGCTTTGAGTGGTCCAACCCAACCTCGTGAATTTCAATTTCCTCGTAAATGGATTGGTGGTGAATGGAGATCATTTCAAAAGACTTGGTTTGATGAATTTGATTGGCTAGAGTATAGTGAGTCCAAGGATGCAGCTTATTGCTTATATTGCTATCTCTTCTTTAATTCGGCAAAGTCTAAAAAATTTGGGAGTTCTGTCTTTGCCCATCAAGGTTATGTGAATTGGAAGAAAGCTAAGGATACTTTAAGTAACCACAGTGTTTGCAAGACTCATGTAGAGGCTAGGCTAAAATGTGATGACTTTATGAACCAAAGGACAAATGTGGGTAGAAATTAGTTGAAGTAAGCAAGGAGGAAGAAAAACGATATGAGATATGTTTGACATCTTCTTTAGATGTTGCCAGATTTCTCATATCGCAAGGGGATGCTTTCCGTGGACATGATGAGACTTCTTCTTCCCTCAACAAGGGAAACTACAGAGAGATGGTTGAATGGTACAAAAATAAGGTTGAGGTAGTGAAGGAGGCATATGAAAAAGGTTCTAAAAATTGTCAGATGTTATCTCATCATATACAGAAAGACCTTACAAAAGCTTGTGCGGAGGAAGTCACGGCTGTCATTATGGATGAGATTCGAGGAAGAAAATTTTCGGTGCTTATTGATGAGTCTCGAGATGTATCAATTAAGGAGCAAATGGCGGTGATTCTAAGGTTAGTAGTCGATACTTGCATTTTCTTGCCTAGATTATTACCTCTATTTCTACTGTTATACTAACACATAATGAAATGTGGCGTGCAGGTTTGTGAATGATGAAGGGAAAGTGGTGGAGAGATTTCTTGGACTTCAGCATGTTGAGAGTTGTACAACTATTGCATTGAAAGATTCTTTGGTCGGTATGCTTTCAAGTCACAATTTGTCAATCTCTATGCTTCGTGGACAAGGGTATGATGGAGCTTCTAATATGAGAGGTGAATTTAATGGGGTCCAGAAATTGATTCGTGATGAAAATCCTTATGCTTTCTATGTGCATTGTTTTGCCCATCAATTGCAACTGGTGGTTGTTGCCGTTTCAACATCTAGTGCAGACATTGCAGATTTCTTTAACTATGTTCCTTTAATAATCCATAATGTGGGTGCATCTTGTATGAGAAAGGATGCCTTGCTTGCAAAGCATCATGATGTGTTGCTTGAAAAGATTGAGAATGGTGAGATTATGACTGGAAGTGGTTTGAACCAGGAAAGTAGCCTAGCTAGGCCTGGAGATACTAGGTGGGGTTCACATCTTAAAACTTTGCTTCGCATTTTGGTGATGTGGGAGGCTATCATAGATGTCCTTGAGATAGTGAAGAAAGATTCCATTAAACCAACATGTAATGGTGGAGCTTTAGGTTTAATTGGAAAAATGGAGAGCTTTGATTTTGTGTTCATCCTGCATTTGATGATAGAGTTGTTGAGCATGACAGATATGTTGTCACGTGCTTTGCAAAGGAAGGATCAAGACATAGTTGAAGCAATGCATTTGATCACTGATGTGAAAGATGGCCTACAGGACATGAGGAACAATGGATGGGAGCCGTTACTCAGAAAAGTGAAAACATTCTGTGAGAAGAATGAGATTGAAGTGCCAGATATGGATAAGGAAATAAATGTTAGAGGGACATCTAGACGTAGAAAGCAAAAGGTAACAAACAAGCATTACTATCATGTTGAGATTTTTCTTGTTGCCATTGACGCCATCTTGACTGAGCTGAATCATCGGTTTAGTGAAATTAGTTCAGAGTTATTAGTATGCATGGCTTGTTTTAACCCAAGGAATAACTTCTCTAATTTTGATGTGGACAAACTTGTGAGGCTTGCTGAAATTTATGTCGAGGATTTTGATATTGGTGACCTTATTGTTTTGCCAAATCAACTTAGACAATTCATCAACCGTGCTAGAAGAACTCCAGATTTTCTTGGATGCACTGAACTTGGAAAAGTTGTTGAAATTATGGTCAAGAATAATATGCACACATCTTACAAATTGGTTTATCGTCTCATTGAGCTAACCTTGATACTACCTGTGGCAACGGCTTCAGTTGAGAGGATATTTTCAGCCATGTCCATTGTAAAGATAGATTTGCGTAATAAAATGGGTGATGCATGACTCAATGACTTGATGATATGCTATAATGAGAAGGAGATATTTAGAAAGATTGGTAATAAAAAGATCAAAAAGCGGTTTCAAGAGATGAAAAAACGCCGTATGTTATTGCCTAAAAAATTAGTGGTACGCTCTATTCTCTTCTAAATTCATAATTTGGAGGTCCATATATGTTTGACTAATCAATTATGTCTACTTGTGTAGATTTCTTCTTCGGATGAATAATGGCTGTCACCGTCACACGTCATCTATTAGTTTCGTAATTTCGCCTTTCAGTATGAATAAACCGCATCCTTTATTTTTCATGATGTATTTTGTGATTTTCATCGTTCTTCTATGTTTTAATATAAAACTACTTCAAACTATTAAATTTGACTATTGTGGGGGGTCATAGCAAAGCTACGTTGCTGTCGCACTTTTGTTCAGCCCCCCCTAAAATTTTTTCTGGATCCGCCGCTGACCGCGAAGCAGAGCTTTCAGCTTTGTCAATGAAAAGCACACGCGGCACATGCAAAATAGAGCGTCAAAGACCACCGGCCCGAAAAAGCACGGCCCAGTTTCACTGGTCCAGACATTACGGCCATGCCATGTCCGCCCACATATTTGATGCTTGGCCCAAAGCATGACAATGTTCTACTTTTCGTACCAAGCTAGCCATCCTGAAAGGTACAACAGACACAGCAGGCTGGGCCAGCTGATAGCCTGCTAGTGAAGCTAATAGAAGCTACACCTCCCTGATCATAGTACAGGTTCAAGAGGTGAATTGTTAAAGAATAAAGATCAGATCTTCAAGACTTCAAGTTTACATCACAAATTCAAAATTCACAAGCTTAGTCACATGATCACATAAGACATGGGCGCCAAATAATATTGAGCTGATTTATAATGTTTTGGTTGCCTCATTAAAACTTTGCTAGGTAAAAACTCACACCTCATCAGAAAATACTAGTAATAAAAAAGAGTAAAGCTTAGCTGCTCCAAGTTCAAGTGTTCAACAAGCAATACACTCTTATAACACTACTAGAGAACTGACCTTCACTGTCGTCCCATTACGAACTGGCAGTGATAGTGTCTACCGGCTCATCACTGCCGGTTCGTGGCTTGAACTGTCAGTGATAGGACCAACAGAGAGTAATGTTGGGGTCAACACTGCCGATTCCTATCACTGCCGGTTTTTGGCTTGAACTGGCAGTGATATTGGGTCATCATTGCTGGTTTTTGGCTTTAGCCAGGAGTGATAAAAGTGATTCTATCACTACCAGTTTGGAACACGACCCGACAGTGATAGACTGCAACAAAACTTCATAACTTTCTCGTATGATATCCAATAAAGATAAACTTTATACCAAAGTTGTAGAATCGATGAGATCTACAACTTTATAGTTGACAACTTGTTCATTTAAAGTCGTTTTGATTCCGAAATATGCATCACAAGATTTTATAGGGTTCATACCAAAGGAATCGATATGCTCTATAATCACAAGTGAGTGTGTGGTGGTAGGGGATCTCGGATAGAGAAACAACAAAAACAAAAGTTGTAGATCTCAAAAAGTTATGCAACCTTGTAATTCACAACTTTTAAATTTAAAGTCGTTTTGATGCCGAAATTGTCGCAGAACCGACCAATTTATAAGAGTACAAGTACAATGGCATCCCGCAAGCGGTCGCACTGTCATACTTGAACTATAAACCCGGTAGTCCGTCGAGTACCATGACGGGTCTCGATAAACGATTTACAACAACCAAGATCATACATGATTCAACATACATGTCACATATTATATAAAGTTCACAGATACATTTTCATCATCAGAGTATGAAACCAGTTATTACAAACCGAGTTTGATAGATAAAAGCGGAAGCAAATTAAGTTTGAAAGTAAAGTTTCCAACATAGTTTAGTACAGTGCCAAAATACGATCACGGTCCACAAAAGCATGTAGAAGGATTAATAAGAAGTCTGCCCAAGGCTTACTCCTCATCCACAGCGGGATAGAAGCAACTATTGCAATAACCATGATACACAGTGCCATCTACAACAATGGGAAATAAAACCCTGAGTACGAGAAGGTACTCAGCTAGACTTACCCGTCATAAACCAGAAATAAAATGACTCAAAGGATTATGCAAGGCTGTATAAGTGGGGATAGCTTGACAACATTTTGCATAAAAGCGATTAACTTAGTTATACAATTATGGTTCCAATATCAGGTTAATTATAACTATCCATCTCTAGATTAGCAACTATCCTGTGCCAAACATGTGGTATATCCATTTAAAAGCATACAATAGTAACCATAGCAGGTATTGCAATTCCATATTCATCCGAACCATCATGTTCCATAACACAGTTACTACGATGTTGGGACTAGCTAAGTTTCTCACTATCCGAGAGAGACGACGATTCGAATCGATTTCAACCAGCTAGGAATTTATTCCTAACACAAACCCAGGCATACCGCGCGAAGGTAGCCTTAGGTCACCTTTGGTACAACTCAGGTACACATTTTGCGGGTCCGTTCCGCGCCGCACAATCTGGGACACCAGATGCCAGGACGTTCAGGCCTAGCCTGCCCTTGGGCTCAGTCTGATCGGCCCCCGCAAGGAGCGCACAACAGAACGGGTCCCGGCCTGAGTTGAGCTACTCGGCTTCGTGGTCGGAACGAGTTATTCGGCCAGCTAAGTGATAGGCATGCGTTCAATCTTGTCAGAAGCACCAACAACAGTACGGTCCTTAATCGGCTCTGATGGAATCACATGAGTCATCCTACGCATAGACTCCGCCCGGCCTCGATTTTCTTTTACCCCATGGTTCTGTTCCACTATAGCAAATATAGCCAACCGTGCTCCGGTATCCACCTATATCTCGCAGGTGACAGCACGTCACCTGACTTCTACCGGTCTAAGCATGGCTAAGCATATGTTCGATCCTGGACCTATATCGGTTAAAGGTGTAATATCTAGACAAGGAATTTATATGCATCAAGTGATTTCATTCAACTCTTATAACCTAATGCATCAATCATAAGTACTTAAGTAATCATTTGTAAAATACTAGGAGACTTAGAATGCTCTGGGACTTGCCTTTTAGAAAGGAAGTAGGGCGGTGATCAGGGCACTCCGGAAGCTCTTCAGGATTCTGCTCCTCGCCTTCGGGAGCTGCGACTTGCGGATTCTCCTGCTGGTCCCCTTCTTCCACTTCGTCGAATTCTAGCAACGTTATTTCTTCCTCCGATCCTAGATGCATGAATATGGCATAAGGTATTGCGAATGCATACATGCGTACAAGTATAAAATAATGACACATGACAAATGCATTCGTATAAGTATTCTTAACAACATGGTGTTAACAAATGTATCATATTTTATCGAGTAGGTGCATATCTCTTCTTGATTACTTAATCAAACACATTTACAAATCATTCACTACACACAAAACAACAGATGCTTATTTTATTTATAACTGAAGTTCTACTTATCCAAATGCTGTGATCTTAGACTTTCTAGAAAGCTTATAAAATTGTCTACAACTCTTACTTAATCACCAAAAGCTAATTCACAATTTATATTAACCCAAACAGACAATCAATCCAGTGCCGTCCAGAAATTCCAGAGAGCAAGAAATTCGAAAATGCTAACTTTAAACATCTGTAACTCCTAAACCGTTTGACCTATGGTCCTGAAATTTTAACACAATATAGATGAAGAAGTTACTTACAACTTTGTTATTAACTATTTTTACAGCAAACATTATTTTGACTACGCAACATTCTAAACCACAGAATCGGTCCGAAAACTCTTCTCTCCTGAATTATAAAGCAACGATATTTCTATTGCATATAAACATTCCAAATTTAACTTCACCAATCATACCAACAGTACAAGAACATCAAATACACTCAAGAAAACATAATGGTCATGCCCAAACTATTTATTTAAATGTCTTTATCAATTTACTAAGATACTTAGATTAAATAATAAACATATACCAAATGTGCATCATAAATTCTCAGAAAATTACAGTGGCTTACTAGTGCTACCAATAGACTAATGTAAAAGTTCCATGTCATTTTGCCAAGTAAAACATCCTATAAAAAAATGACAAGGCAGCAAGGCTTGAAATAGTATAAATGGAAAACCCTATTGAAAAGTGTCAAGCAACAGATTTTCTATTTTTCTTAGCATCCTTCTGGTACTAGGATAACCTCCAATAAATTTCATGAATATTGGATTCCTAAATAATTTATAAAAATTCATACAAGGATCTCCTAATTATAAAAGGAAAATCTATAACTACAAATCTATACATGCACTGATCCTAAAATTTTTACCAGAGCTCATACATGTCAAGAATAGCTTACCACAAAAATTTCATAATTTTTGAAGCACAGGAACTCTAGATATAAAATAAACAAGTTTGCATGCATTTAAAAACACATTTCAAATCTCCATTTAAATCTCCCAAAATTTCTTCCGCAAATGCTAGTATCATATTTTTCATAAATACTACACTCCCTAAGGAACACTATGAGATTTAGTTCACAAATTTATGATCTACACAGCTCCACTTATAAATTTTCAAAGTTGCACATAACACAGGAAACAAATGCACTATCTTTCTGCCCTATAGTCACTGGCAACTGGGGTCCACCGGTCAGTTGACCCCACGCGTCAGCGGAACAAAGCAGGGCAGCGGCGCTGGAACGATGCTGTTCGGCCACGGCTCGTCGACGGCGAGCTTCACCGGCGACGGCACCTAGTCTACGGTGACCCTCTAGACCTTGCGCACACGCTAGGCTATCTAGGCGGGCGAATCACCGGCGCGAAGGACGACGGTGTCGGCCATGGCGGCACGGCGGCGCTGCTCGACGTGTGCCGGCCGTTTTCGGCCACGGCGAAGCCAAGCGACGTGCTCTACAGAACTACGGCAACCCTACGACTGTGACTAAGCAACCTAGACGGCGGGAGCTGCTCCGAAGAAGCACGGCCACTGCAGCGGCCATG